AGAACAGACTTTTGGACTCTGTGGGAGAAGGCGAGGGTGGGATGTTTCAAGAGAACAGCATCGAAACATGTATATTATCTAGGGTGAAACAGATCACCAGCCCAGGTTGGATGCATGAGACAAGTGCTCGGACCTGGTGCACTGGGAAGAGCCAAAGGGATCGGGTCGAGAGGGAGGTGGGAGGGGGGATCGGGATGGGGAATACATGTAAATCCATGGCTAATTCATGTCAATGTACGACAAAAACCACTACAATGTTGTAAAGTAATTAGCCTCCAACTAATAAAAATAAATGAAAAAAAAAGAATAGAATGTCTTCTACTCTTACATCCTAGAAAAGCTCCTTCTGTTTCCAAACTGATGAATAGCTCAAGAAGTTTTTTATCAAATATTGTGATTTAGTCCACTAGTTAGATACTCACTAACCTATGAAGGAAGACAGGCAACCAGGGGAAGCAAGAAAGATGAATCCAAACAGAAAATGTTGGTAAGATCAGAGTAGGAAAAACAGATATAGAAGATCCAAGACCAAAGGCAGGTAATGAGGAGAGACCTGAAAAAAATCATTGGGTTAGAATGGTCTTTCAGTGAAATGGTTCTGCCAGTGTAATATGTGGCCTTCTCTGGAATACTCCCAGGAGCAGTCTGATGGTTCAATCTTATTAGAGATAAAAATAAGAATGTTTTTAGAGATGGAAGCACAAATCCATCAGAAGAGTTTTGATTTCCAATGCCATTTCATGAGCAGCTAAAACCAAGAGAGATATACATAAGTTACTGGTGGCTGCTACGTCCATGGTGTGTAGAACAATGGTTTTTCTTGGGAAGCATCTCGGCAGAAACAAATGTTAGTTTTTGTATCTATAGTCCATCCACTGCCTTAATTCTATTGTCTAGTTATCTAGATTCCCTAGTTTATCATGTTCTCTCAGAAATTAAGAATGGAGAAACACAAACCATGCAGTTACTTCTGGATTCTGATTTAAAGTGTTGTGATGTTGACATCAACTTATCTGATCATCCTGGAGCCCTTATTATGGATTGAATGTTTGTAGTCCCCCTAAAATCATATATTGACATCCTAACCCTATCCTAAAGTGATAGTATGAGGAGATGGTGACTTTGGAAGGTAATTAATTAGGTCACGAGGGTGAAGTCCTCATGAATGGGCTAAGTGCCTTAATCAGAAGAGGTATGAGAGACATCTTTCTCTCTGCCATCTGGGGATACAAGGAGAATACAGCCATCTGTAAACTAGGGAGAGGACCCTCACCAAACACCAATGCTGACACCTTGATGGCATAGTTCCAGCCTCCAGACCTGTGAGAAGTAAATGTTTGATTAAACCACCCAGCCTATGGGTGTTCTGTTAGTGTCTGAATTAACAGAGGAAAACCCTTAAGTACTTAGTTTCTACTAGGGTTCAGTGGCAAAAGCAGTGAACTTGTGATGACTAGAATTGTCTCATGTATGTGGTTCTGCTAGTTGTCCTTGGGTAAATCTCCTAACTTCTTGAATACTACACTTTCCTGTGCTGTGTATGTGTGTGCTAAGTCACTTCAGTTGTGTAAGACTCTTTGTGACTCTATGGGCCATAGCCTGCCAGGCTTCTCTGTCCATGGGTTTCTCAAGGCAACAATACTGGAATGGGTTGCCGTGTTCTTCACCACCAGTGCCACCTGGGAAGCCCCACATTTTCCCATATGTATAAAATTATTTTTTTAGCTGCTAGCTGGTTCTTAAGCTCTTTAGGTCAGGGACTGTTTGAGAATCTGATAAAAGCCACAGTTCATCTCCTCAGATCATCTGTTGTAGTATTAAAGATTATCAAGGGGTAAAGACATCCATGAAGATATCCTCTACAAATTACATTGGATTTCTAATTTATTTAGCCAAAAATATAAAATATTTGGGAAATAAACTGCCACCAAGAACAGAAGCAGCTTCAGTATATAAAATATTTGGGAAATGAACTGCCACCAAGAACAGAAGCAGTTTCAGTTGATCCCAGTGTAGGTTCTTTTGGGCCTAGCTTCCTAGGCCCTAGTAGGGGGCTATTTGTGCAAAATAGGATCTTACCTGATCCAAGAAGGAGAATGCTTGCTGTGCCTCTTCACTTTTATGCTAAGGGCTTGCTTTACCATTGATGAACTTACACTAACAGCCTGTGAACTTCTAGTTAGGGAAAGTTTTACAAAGAGCTGGTCCTTAATTCTTGAGTCATATGTCATCAGCTTGGCCACATCCTTACCTAAGGAGAAATCATAGTCAATGCCCTGATTTCCACCTCCAGCTTTTCCACATTTCAGAAAACAAACACAAATACACATACACATACACAATTTGGCACATAATTTCAGAGGGTTTTCAGATCCCCACCCTTGCCCTCAATTAATCCCATGGACTCCACGTTAAATCTCTGATTTGGATAATCTTTATGATGTGCCTGACCTCTAAAATGTTATTATTCTGAGCAAGACATTTTACTCATCACCAATATTCCTTCAGACTACAGTGGGAGGATTTGGGGGTGGAATGAGCAACTTTCATCTTGTAGCTTTCAGACCAGCAATATAAGATTTTCTTTTTGATCTATTTCTTCTCCTATTTTGATGGTAAAATTGACAGAGTTTGGAGCTATCATGAAAAGTTCAGAACAACTTTGTCTCTCACTCCTGTTCACATTAGAGATGATTATGTCCCAGAATAATATTTCTGAAATCTAAGGTGAAAGATTTGAGGAGTCATTCTGTGCTGACTTCAGCTGAGAGTGGTATTAATGTCTTTACTGCAATCTATACCTCAACTTAATTTAACCTACTACTTTGTCTTGAGAGAAGCGTGATATCCTCCCCTTCAATTTTCATCTGAAATTTCATCTTGGCAAACTTTTATTTATCTAGAAATGGTTTCATGTTCGTGGTCACCATCATTATCAGTTCATTTAATACTATTCAACGAAACACCCAGTTGATCCCTTGCTGACCTGTTTAGTCATTCATTCCAAAAATAATTTATGGGAATGGATAACATTTACTAAGCATGTACCGTGTGCTAGTCACTCTGCTAAGCCCTTTGTAAATTCCATTCCCTTTAATCCTATTTTTATTTCACCTTTTAGGGATCTGGAAGTCATCTTCCACTTTCTCATGGTTTTGGAGCAGTAGATCATAGCTGTTTAAGGAGGTGATGCTTTTCATTTCCCTAAAATCTTGATGTTACTCCTGCTGTTGCAGCCACTGCTGGGGTTAGTGAGAACCTGGAGCCAAGGATGAGGCCAGTAGCAGCTGGGAGGAAGGAGCACTGGGCTTCTGAGTACTACTGGGAGATAACCACTCTAACTACCTCAAAGGATCCTGGAAACCCTTGGAAGTGGAGAAGGATCATGGAGAACCTCCTGAGTAGCATATTTAGTAATGTCTGCTTTACTACATTTCATCCTCATTTAACTATGTGAGATGGGTGTTATTACCTCTCTCTGCAGAGGCGTGACGCTCAGACAGGGCCCTTGGCTAATGTATGTGGAGCTGGGATTCTAACTAAGCAGGTTAGCCTTTAAAGTTAAACTTCCTTTCATTGCCTTACAATGAAGAAGAGAGAAAAGGGAAGAGAAAAGTGTAGAGGGGAGGAAAATCATGCATTCTCTAAAGCAACTTGGATCCCAGAAGTTGAGACTGATGGATGAAACCTGATCTGCTGCTCAGAATCACTTACTTAGATGCTGCTTGGTTCATAGAAGGCTAGGTTTATCCCCTGAGAGGAAACACTGGAAGACAAGTAACAGACAGATAAGTGAACACTACATTTGCTCATTTGACCAGAATGCTCTTCTCTTTCAATCGTTTTAGATCATGAGCTGCACTCTCTCATCCTATGTCCTATCAACCATTTTAAGCAGCTGATCATATTCATTTTTCAAAATGCATTTGAATTTATTTTACTTACCTTAAGGGTTTAATCACATATATCCAAGGTATGAAAAAACCTAACTAAGCTAGTTTCTGAAAATTCTGTTACTCTTTGCAAAGGAATCTCGCCAAGGGGGGAGACTCTTGCTATCGTAATTCAGCGTCTTTAAATCAGAACGAGGAGAAATCATTTTAATTAAGGAAAACCCCTACGTCTTCCCCAACAGCTGGTTTGCTTGCAAGTAAGAAAGCCTAAAAATGAATCAGAGAAAAAAGGGTTTGCACAATTTCTAAAATAACTTGATATATTTAGAAGTGTGACTCTGTGTGTCTGTGTTTTTGTGCAAATGTAGAAAACCAGAGAGCTTGTGTGAGAGCCTTAACCATGTTGTAATCTTCAGAATCTTCAAATATCACTTGCAATACATGGCATAGTTCTACTGTTCTCCATGTACTGCTCAATTATGCCTGTGTGGGAGATCCATATTGTCGTTGCAGTGTATGAAACTATGGATTTAAAATTTTAAATTCAGGAAATAGAGCTGTTGTATGTGCCAAGACAGTAAAGAGATTATCTTAGGTATATGATAGTGTGAGACTAAATTTCAATGAGAAACAGTACTTTAGAGAAGTGCTTTTTGTAGACAGATGTGTGCACCTTTTTCCCTCTCTAATCTGTGATGTTATTTGATGGTTTGGCCACAGAACAACAGGTGGTGCCTAATGTTAAAAGCCAGAAAGCAGTTACTATGGAAACCAGATGCAAATTTAGATCTCTGCGTCCACTCTTTGCTGCATATAGGGAAAAAAATGTGTTATACCAGAAATGAAAAAAACTGAAATATGATTCACATCTATGCCTTCTGAGTCTTAAAATATCTACTAAATACTGTGAGATATTGAGCAAGTTACAGCTTCTCAGCCTCAGCTTCCTATAAAATCTGTAAGAATGGTAGAATCAGAGACCACTTCTAAGACATTTCTGCATTTGTTTCCAAATTCACTTTTCTAAGTATATGTCTAAAATAAGAGCAAATCAATTTTTTAGAATACATAAGATTATACAAATGTATATATAATGAAAAATGGTATTTAAAATACTACATGCTTCCTAAACAGAATTTACAAAACATGAAAAATGAAAGAAAAAAAGTTCAAGTCACTCATAGTACCAAGACTCAGAAAACACCTGCAAATATCTCTATATCTTTCCTTTTAGTCTTCTATTTATATAATGACTGAATGGGGTGGTGCAGTGGTTAAGAATTCACCTACCAATGCAGGAGATGTAGAGATGCCGGTTTGATCCCTGGGTTGGGAAGATCCCCTGGAGGAGGGAAACCCACTCCACTATTCTTGCCTGGAGAATCCCATGGACAGATGAGCCTGGCAGGCTATAGTTTATGAAATTGCAAAGAGTTGAACATGTGTGTGTTGGGAGCATGCACACAAAAACAAATCAATGCACTTTAGGTCATTTTGTATGTACATATACTACAAATACTTTTTTTTCTCATTTAACATAAACCAATACATTCCAATACATTAAAAATGCTTCATAAGTGTCATTTTAATGACCAGCATAATATACGGTTAGATGGGAAGACCTCAAGGTATTTCCCTGGAGAAGGAAATGATAACCCACTCCAGTATTCCTGCCTAAAGGACTCCATGGACAGAAGAGCCTCGCTGGCTACAGTCTGTGGAGTTGCAAAAAGTTGGACACAACTGAGCAACTAACACACTGAGGTATTTAATCTTTTTTTGTTTTTGGACAATTAAGATATTTGAAATTTTTTTTATTATAAATAGCACTACAATGATTGAATTTGTGCATAAACCATATCCACATCTCAGATATATGCCTATCAGTAAAGTAACTGGGTAAAGAGTATAATATCTAGATAAATATATATATATATATTGCTTTTTAGATTCTATATGCATATATAGGCATTTATTTTCTGTATATACATGTGTGTGTGTGTGTGTGTGTGTGTGTGTGTGTGTGTTAATCACTCAGTCTTGTCTGACTCTTTGCGACCCCATGGACTGTAGCCCGCCAGGCTCCTCTGCCCATGAATTCTCCAGGCAAGAATACTGGAGTGGGTTACCATTCCCTTTTCCAGGGGATCTTCCTACCCAGGGATCAAGAACCTGGGTCTCCTGCACTGCAGGCAGATTCTTTACCATCTGATCCACCTGGGAAACCCTATATATTATTTATATTTATGTATTTATATTTATATGGGATCACCATAAATATATGGGAGAGAGAGAAACTTTTCCAAGTTACAAGTGACATAAAATCAGTTAAAACTAACTTGAAAAGAGGGTTTAAACAATGTTACTACTAATACTATCTAATATTTATGGAGCACTTCCTATATATCAGGCACTGTTTAAGTATTTAATATTACTCATTCATTTACCTCTCAGAGCATTCAATAGGGAAGTACCATTATGGTTCCTATTTTACTACTGTCCTATCTCTTGTCTGCTCTCCTCTGTATGGCTGCACCTCCAGGCAGGTTCACTCTTTCTCTAACTGCTCCGGATAGATTCACATCTTCTCAAACCCAAGTCATAGGATGAATCTTTCCTCTTTTCTGGTTGCTCAGACAAAAATTCTAGAATTGGCTCTGGATCTGAAGTCCTGGCTTGACCTTGGCCCCATTCTTATCCTTAATCCAGTCACTAGGGTACTGTGAGACCCTGATTAGCCAGACCAAGCCAGGGTGGAAATCACTTCTCTAGACAAACTAGGTACTGCTATCAAAAGCAGAGTGATGGAAAGCAGAGAGTTAATTACAGTAAACCAGCCAATTCCACTACAATGAGCTCTCAGAAATTTTGAGTGCATTCAGAGAAGGGAATAGTGGCAACAAACTTTCTGGAAGAAAAATATCTTTCTGGTTCCAGCTTCTAAGGAGTAGTGATTATTCTTTTTCATATTTACAGTACAGAGTACTGGTTCTAGCCTAAAAGAACTATTCAGATGCCAGACATACCTAAGATAAATGTATTCATTTACATTCAAAATTCAAATATGTATGTAAAAAAGACATTTAACTAAACCCGAGTAGATTCACTTATTTTCCAACTTAAAGCACATGCCATTATTTTCCTCAACCTTTGTGGTATGTTCAAGTAATTATCTAGTTAAACAGCATTTTTCCCAACTATAAGACAAAAATATAAGGTTTCTTTGCTGATTTGCCAGTGTTTGAGGGTATAATATAGACTGTAGTTGTTCTGCAATTAGAATAATCATCCACAACTTAATGACTGCAGTATTAATTGCATTTACCAAGTATGCCTATTTATTAATCTTAGTGTTATTTTTTGCTATGTAATAGAGATAGTGTAGGATAGGAGAGAAAAGATGTCTGAACTGTACATGGATTGCCATGGAAACAGCAGCTGACCAATCAACGGAGAGCACTCAGAACATATGCCTCCTCTTTTTGACATTCTTGATGAATTGATGTTCTTGTATTGAATCCTTTTGGCTCTTATACCAGTTGCAGTGATAGTTTTCTTTTTTGACATGTAAATATATGACACACACCTGTTATAAAAAAATTCAGATGTATATATTTTTAATCTTAAAATTTTTAATCTCTATGTACATATACCCACACAGGCAGTTTTTTCTTCCTCCAAAGTGAAAGTGAAAGTGAAGTCACTCAGTCGTGTCTGACTCTTTGTGACTCCATGGACTGTAGCCCACCAGGCTCCTCTGTCCATAGGATTTTCCAGGCAAGAGTACTGGAATGGGTTGCCATTTCCTTCTCCAGGAGATCTTCCCAACTCAGAGATTGAACCCAGGTCTCCTGCATCGTAGGCAGATGCTTTACCATCTGAGCCACTGGGGAAATCATTTTATAGATTGGTGAGCATAAATACCAGTGATCATTTCTAAAACCCTTGCTTTCTTAAAACATTTTAGGATGGCACCAAACATTATTCATTTATAGTCCCAAATCTCTTTAGTTTTTCCTGTGAAAGAAAATCAGTGTTTAGTAGTAAATGTTTCAAAATCTTATTTTATTTGGAAATGACCTAATTATTCAATAGACTGACTTCCAATACTTAGTTTAGCACAACCCTTAGAAATTCAAGTTACGCCAATCTGGAGAGACTATTTTAGACAGATATACCTAAAGAATAATTATTCTTAATAGAGTTTATATACTAACTCATATCTCATTTACATTTTTTTAGAAGTTTCTTCACTCGAGGTAATTTCCTTGTTGACAAACTTGTAACAGATATAATATTTAACTTATAATAAACCTAGGTACAATGAAAGTATTCTACTTAATGTTAATTACCCTAAGACATGTCTATATTAGATAGGTCAACAAACATTAATATCAGGTATTTAATACTATTTCCCAGTTCATGTGAACCTGGAATATATTGTTTAATTTAGAATTATTTGACTTGTAAGCGCTTACCTTCCTTTAAGCCAATTAAATAGAGCTCATTTACAAATTAACCTAAAAAATATTACCCAGAGACAAAGACATACCAAGACATATTTAGACAGACACAGTACAAGATCTAACTTCATTTTCTAAGTTTAATCATGAATTAGATATTATAATACAAAATTTATTAGTTTATAAAAAAAGTTGAAATAAATAAAATTTTTAAAGTTTTTTCCCCTTTTTCCCTTAGTCTCAGGAGTTAGAGATGGTCTAGATGGTCTTCCTCCAAAACGTTCCCCAAATTTCTCATATATTCTCCTTTCCCAATCATCTAACTCAACCATCCACTTGTCATCCACTTGTCTCCACCCTCCCCACTTTAACATCCTAAAACACCATAGTCTGGTTGGATAGAGCAATTT